AAACAGGGTATCAAAAGGCAAGCCCTGCAGGTGTACACAGGCTTGATCTTGCGACCGTCTCCCTTTGCAGGGATGAACGAAAGGGAGACGGCCTCTATCAAGAGGTGGTTTCGGCTTGCGTCACACAAGACTCATGCGTGGGTGTAACATCCAAAAAGAATCCATTGAAGGTCGCTCCAATAGAATCTGTCCAGTTATGATAGGGGAGGTGGGAGCAAAACTTCTTTTCATGAGGGCGTACCAATACAATCGATCTTTTCCTAGGATTAGGAGTTAATTTATAATTCTGGATGAGATTTTACCGTTAGGAAAGAAATAGGAAGAGATAAATAAGATAGGGATAAATGGCTTTGCAGAAGAGACTTGCCGATGAGATACAACTTTAGAATGAACATGAGCTGATAGAAAGGCCGGCTCTCGTTCTTATCACTTCCCAACTCTTGAACCGAAGGGAGGGTGTCCCCCAATGGATCACTGGCGAATTTGACATGAACAAGGACTGCCCGCCGTTGTGTACCATGCAGCACGCCTGCCCCTGCTCTATTATATAAGTTCAATCCTGTCCCATGCTTCTACGTGTGTGTGTGTGTGTCAGAACCAGGCGCCATTACAGACGGCAGCGGGCGCATGCCGGTTTGGAGGAAGAAACCGTCTCCAGGAGGGCTTGGCTCTACTTTTCGCATTCGGCTTTGTTTCCTCCCCTCCGGCCAAATCAGGTGCCACCCCAAAAGGGTGCTCCGGTCTTTTTGGTGATCGTGGATGGTCGGTCACTGCAATAGGTGACCGCTGTAGCTAGAAGCTCTCTTTTAGCTGGGCCCCGTCCCCCCCCCCGTCACGCCCCCAAGTTCAGATTCGACAAAGAGGCAGCACGCAAGTTCGTTTAATGTCTTGGAATTTCTGTGAAACTGCCCTCCTGAGGTCTACGGTGTGTGAGTTGTTTCGTGTAAGATGGCTTCGTGGCGCTGTCAGGAGATGTCATCCCGCAAATGTATGTTTGCGTCACGTTGCGTATTGACTGCACTGCATTTGGCACGGGTTATCCCTCTGGTGGAAGGATCCAACACTAGTAGATAGTTGCAGTTCATCATATACGACACAGCGGTCAAAAGCAAACTTGTGTATAGCCTTCAAACTATTCAACCTCAGAGGGCTACCGACAAACGCCAGAGTGTACAGCTTTGCCTCAAGCACAGCATTCCGAGAGGTCCCACCAAGCGGGTTATGCCGTTCTCGGAGGACCTGAACAAAAGGCAGCTTTCCAACAAAACATCACTGAGCCCACGCAAATTGTTACACACAGAGTAGTTGAGTTGCCCTTGACGGCAATAGATGTAAAAAAGCAATATGCAAACCACTCATTCCAAATAAGACGGTAGGGCGCGAAGCAGAGCAATATAAACCCACGAGCCAGGCGCCGATGCATTTTCCCTCTTGTTGACCTTAGCAATTGATGCACGCAGAGGTCTTGGTGGAGGCGTTCCAGTTGGCCCGGCAGATCGCTGGCGCGGAGCCGCTCAAGAGCAAGATCCAGGCGGAGGACTGCTTTAGTGACGCGGGATGATTGATCCACCCGGTTTCAACATGGGTTTGTCTCCGAATGCACAAAATAATTGCCAGCTCCAGACCCACTTATTTCAACGCCGCAGCCTATTCAAGCGCAGCATGCTGTGCGATTCGAATCTAGTAGGGCTCCCTATTATTGGGTTCAACTTTCAATTCATTACCAGGACCTTCCATTGGCCATCACATGATCCCCAGAGGAGCAATCCATCCGAGGTCACTCAAGCATCCTATTGAAACCATTGAAAGCACATCGGCGGTCCTGGCCCTTCAGGCTTTCTACACCTTAAGGGTCCTTTATTTTCAAGTAAAACCGGAACTTGTCAAAAGGTGAACCCTCACGGACCATCATCACCAGGTGGAGGTGGCCGCTTATCCGGAGTACGGGACGCGGCACGCCTTCCTCCTGTGTGATCGTTCAATCCACTACTTGAGGCCTGGTTCGAGTGCCTTGACTCGAGGGAGTTAATTCTGTGCGCCGTATTACCCAGCACCTCGAGCATTTGCTCGAGCTTACTGTTGAGCGTAGTCGAAACGGCCATGTTATGAGTATTTTGCTTGTCCGTGTAGGATTTGCAGTCCCTTGACTTTACCTCAAGGTTGGCTTGTGTCTCATAAAGTTGGTCTTTAACCCACTTCATGCCGTCCCTATTATTGGTCCAGCATTGTTCGACATCTCGCATCATCCTGTCAATCTGACATACCCTAGTGAACAGGTCCTCGATTTTGAGGTTTACTCCACCAATCGCAGGATGGTTGGATTGGCTCTCCACTAGAGATCTCTCAATCATATCAACACGAGCTATAGGCCCGGTTACTCGATCAGAAAGAGATTCAAAAACAGTTTGAACCTGGGTGATGGAGCGAGCAACATCATCATAGCTGGCTCGCTCATTTAGGGCATCGCCTATGCTTATCATGCGATTGGAAACGATCTTGACGCGTTGGCCAAGCTCGGTCACGATGTCCTTAGTCCCTTGTGACAGCTGCATGGCCGCGTTTGCAGCCTGCGTACACGTGCTACTCACATGGACGCATTGGTCGTATTTGGCCCTCCACGAGTTAACCTCAGTGGAGAGCTGCTTGATGCATTGATCACTTCTATCATTCCTACGCCCAAGGTCCTCGACCTTAGCAACCAGGCGATGAATGATCGCACTTACCGAAGAGTCCACTCCCCTCTCTCAAGGGCTGTTACAAGATCAGCAACCTCGTTGGGTTGCTCTTCACTCGTAGGACCAAATCCTGATCCGCGATCTCGAGGAGTGGACAAATCAACCATGATTGGATTAGATCTCGGAGGAGTTCTGAAATCATCCTGCACGGCCGTTGATGGTCGTGGGAACTCACTCCGATTAGGAGATTGACTCTGATACGGAGCAGATCTCCTAGCATCACGAACCGCAGAGGGTTGTGTCATGCCCAGGCCTTTGGCCACGGACAGTTTAGGAACAACAGGCCTATCCGTTCGCATAGGAACATCAGGTCTCGAGTCAGCAATAACAATGTCATTCAAGTCGGTCGCATTGGACACTCTAGACTCAGACATCGATTCAATATCAGTCGCATTACTGATGGTATGATTGCGACTAGAACTTGATGCCATCATGGACTCAGATTCTATCGGAACATTAGCTCCGTCCATGTCGTCCAGAGCGAAAATGGAAGCCGCGTTGGGCGTAGGGCGAACACCTTGTGCGTTCAAGCCACTTGACCTATTAAATTCCTCCTGGAATGCTTCGATCCCATCAAGCACGTTAACGAGTGTGTCCGCGTTTAACTCTGCCAATGATCGACGCTGGATCACCTGATCGACCGCGTCCTGAGTCCCGCGCATTGGGGTTACCCCTGTGGGCAGTTTCCCGATCCATCCCCCTTGCCCTATGCGATCCAGTCGAATTTGACCTTGATCGGTTGCTTGGGGTTGGACTGGGATGCAAATCCAATCTATCTACGATGTTACACTCCCTAGGGCTCTCAAATCCTGAAAGTCCTGGGGGAGGGGACATGTTCCTCATGGTCGGGTTTACCGACGGCCTTGGCCTGACGTTACGGCTGGCCACGTCAGGATTGAGATTCTCAATCGACAAAGGTAGCATGAATTCATCGCTTCCAGCAGCCCGTTTTGGGCTTTGGAATTGCGGGAAAGATGACGGGGCGGGTGGCCCTGGCATCCATGCGGCAAAATCCATACCAAAAATGTTTCCGTCGTTGGGCCATGAGGCTCTCCAATCGAGCCCACCGGATTCGGTCGGCAGATGAACGTCAAATGCAACTCCACTGGATATACCAGGTTCGGGATTACCGAGCACTTGAAAAGCTATGCTACTGGTTGGCACAGGTCTACTGCTACTTCGAGAGTCACGAAACTCGGACTGACCAATATTCATCAGCTCCGGGAAAGATGAGGATTGAGCTCCAGGCGCAATACCGGGCTCGTCATCATCACGTCCTGAGACGGAATCATCATGGCCAGGACGATTAGACCCACGACCCTGAGAGCGATTAGCTCTTGAGGCATTAGACGATAGATCATCAGTGCGAGTAGCACTGGATCTCCCTGAAGGCATCGCTTCTGAAAAAGTGTGGTCCGACAAAAAGTCAGGACCGGAAAACATCGGCTGTCCGGGCACTTGGTCGTCATTCACAACGTCCAAGATTCCGGCCTGGCCGAGAACCCATTCGTCGGTCACCACATGAGGTCCGTCCTCAGTGATTCCCGCCATGACGCCTACAGAAACCTACGGTACCTGCAGGGTTATTATTAAAAGGGGTTCGCGGTGCCAACCGAGGACGAATCCTACGGCTGATAACCTGCGAAAGGGTTTGAAACAGAGTTTCGGGATGGATAAAACAGGCCCTAACCCACCAACAAGAAGAGACCACCTTATCCCCCCGGTCCCAAGGGCAAAGCGGTTGCCCTCGGCCGGCACAAACACGAACCAAAAGGGTTGCCAGTTGTAACAAGGTAAAGAAGCCCAGCAAGGGCAGAGACAACCGAAAGCAAGCACAAAGCAGCAAACCAAGCAGGCAAACAATGCAGCGAAGCAAGCAAAGCAAACCAGTGCGCACCAACCCCAACCAATACCCCCGACCAACCTCCGCCAAGGACACCACCACAGGCGCACGGCAACAGCACAACGTGCTGATGAAGTGCACCACGTGCCGCGATGTTTTGGCGCCGAAATTGCGGGTGCGAGTCGACGGGTTGAAAAGCTTGAGCCAAATACCGCGTTGGGTATGGGCGTACTACAAACTGCTATGATAAAAGTACATGCCCCCCAAAAACAATAACCAAACACCGGCATGGAAAGGCTGCATCCATGTACGAAGGCATGACAAGGGCCTGAAGCCACGGCTGGACATGCGCCCGCTTTCCCTCCAATTGTCTGAGTCTTCACTTCGGCTCTTTTAAACCTCTCTGACCGGCCACACCTCTCCTGGTAGCTCTCTGCCACCTTTGACTGGCAGAAGCACAATGCCCCTACAGGCGGGAAGTCGTACACGCCGCCCTTCCCCAAGGCGTGTTGCGCACGGCCTGCGCCCAGCATCCGGCCCCAATGGTCAAAATCTCACTGGGTGGAAGGGGAAAAGCGCCGAACCGATTTTGCTTTCTGGTCCTGGACAACGTTGCTTTGCCGGGGAGGTGATGCGACCTTTTGCCACCCCGTTCAAATGAGACTTCTCCCTGCATATTTTGAGAGCTCGAAAACTTGGACTTCGAGGCCGCAAATGGCCCAAGCATGGCCAACGCCGGGGCTCCCGCTGATGAGGGTGCTGGTCTGGCGGGCGGGATTAAAGGCCAAGGGCTCCCGCCAGCTGAAGCCTTGGCCGGAGAAGCCAGGATCTCCCTGAAATGTGTGGCATACATTTTGCACACGGAAGGCGTTTTGCCACTATGGGGCAACCCTACCATTTTATCCCAAAAGGGATGGTCTGAAACGGAGTAGCCTGGAATCCTGAGACACTCCCTAAGAAACCCAAACCCTACAGTCCTCTTGAGCTCCTTGCTTTCTACCGTTGGACCCAACCCTCCCACCATTCGATCCAAAAGCCGATCTTCTCACCGGGAAACGCAGCCCTGCCCCCACGCGTCAAGAAGCGCCTAGAATCGTTCGCAAATTGCCCTAAGGGTTTGTAGTTTGAACGGTTCACTGGGCGACTTTGCGGATGCAACTGGAAGCTCGCTCTTGATGTGAGTATGTGTCACACAACAACTAAAACAACTGGGGTCTTTAACCAGAGTTGCCTTTCGACCATTTTTTTACAAGTGTAGAATTCTCTAAGCGAGGGGTCCCTTTGTGTTACCCACAAAAAAAAGGCTAATGGCAAACGCTGCTGGAAGCTATCTCTTGAATTGCATCTATGTGTGGGAAGCGAACTAAGGCAAAATCAAACCTCGGTATCAAAGAAGTCTATCCAGAACCATGCGACGTGCGGCTCTACAAAGGCGGACGGGGAACGGTCTCCTTTAACGTGTCCGGTTTGATTAATTTGCGGCGCCAGGGAAAAAGGTTAGGGGTGCAAGTGCCCAAAGCATGCGGCGGGCAGCGTAGCGGGAAGCACAAGTGATCGCACAGGTTGCTGCCCACCGCCAGATCCGCTTGGCACTCAAGGCCAACCGCCTGCGGGCGGCTGGAAGTGCGACTCTCACCGCTAGAAAGCGTGGGCTTCCCTACAGGAAGCGGACTTCAAAAAGGCCCAGGCCCAGACTTCATTTGGCCTCATCCTTTTCCTGGCCTCCTTTTCCTTTGATCAAAGTTAGTTTGTGGCTGCCTTTCGATAACTGGGGTTGCACGCCTTTCGATAGCTGGGTTTGCAGGCTGAGCCCGTCGGACCTTCCACTCCAAGCCGACCCAATTTTAGGTACTTGTGGAACCCTTTCTGGATGTATTTTTGTTGGCCCATCTTTCTGCCTTCTGTTCGACAAACATCTTTCACATCTTGCAACGCCTCACCCAGCCCCTGTTAGTCATACATATTCACATCTTCCAACAGCTCACCCAAGCCCAGCCCCTGCTTGCTTCCACATCTTCCGCATCTTCCAATGGCTCCCCCATCCCCTGCGTGTGTGCACATGTTCCGCATCTTCCAACAGCTCCCTCAACCTGAAGATGTGGAAGATGTGGAATCAAACAGGGGCTCGGGGAGCCATTAGAAGATGCGGAAAATGTGGAAGATGTGAAAGATATGGAAACAAGCAGGGGCTCGGGGAGCCATTGGAAGATGTGGAATATGCGGAAACAAACAGGGGCTGGGGAAGCCATTGGAAGATGTGGAAACAAGCAGTGGTGGGGGAGCCATTGGAAGATGTGGAAGATGTGGATGATGTGGAAAGAAGATGTGGAAACAAGCGGAGGGACTGGAAGATGTGGAAACAAGCAGGGGCTCGGGGAGCCATTGGAAGATGTGGAAGATGCGGAAACAAGCAGGGGCTGGGGGAGCCATCTTTGAACAATGTGGAAGGTATGGAAACAAGCAGTGGTGGGGGAGCCATTGGAAGATGTGGAAGATGTGGAAACAAGCAGGGGCTGGGGTCGGTTCCCGCCAAAACACGCACCCAACAAGGGGCGCCTTCAAAAAATCACACGCCCACATTGGAAAAGCCCCAGTCTTGGTTGGAGATGCATGTATTGTGGGGAACGCCCAAAACGAACAAATCAAGCCGCTGTAGCGGAGCCGTTGGAAGATGTGGAAGATGTGGAAACAAGCAGGGGCTGGGGGGCCATTGGAAGATGTGAAAGATGTGGAAACAAGCGGAGGGGCTGGGGGAGCCAATGGAAGATGTGGAGACAAGCGGAGGGGCTGGGGGAGCCATTGGAAGATGTGGAAGATGTGGAAGCAAGCAGCTTCCAATGGCCCCCCCAGCCCTTGCTTGCTTCCACATTTTCCACATTTTCCAATGGATCTTCCCCAGCCCCTGCTTGTTTCCGCATCTTCCACATCTTCCAAAGGCTCCCCGAGCCCCTGCTTGGTTCCACATCACATCTTCCAATGGCTCCCGCAGCCCCTGCTTGTCCTTCTTGTAACCTCACTTGGTGCATCCTTCATTTAGGTGTGATCCTTGATTTGAAGCCCTGGCCTCCAAATGCTCCTTGGGTCCGATGCCCGACAGCATCAGTAGCTGGGGGCTGCCGATGGCACCCGCGCACACCACCGTCTCCTTGGCGCGGACATACCTCGCAAGGAGCTTCGTGCTCAATGTGTCTACATGTGTGTTTACACAGTATACACATGTGTTTCGAGGAAACATGTCTATATGAAACATGGGTAATGTGTTGACCGGCCTCAGAGCCCACACAAATGCACATCTGTGTACCTTTGCCAGCAAACAGGGGACATGTCAGACGAAAGTTAAGGTGTAGCCCAGGCAGGTGCTGGAGCCGGTCCCGCGACGAGGTTCCCAACGCGCCTACCCTTTTCGTTTTGATGCAGCAAACAAAAGTGATTGACCTGGCAGATCTCCCGTCTGGAGCCATTTAAGTTTGTTGTGTTTTTCCCCGTCTACTCACTCCGACGATGCACAAACCAAGTTGCTGCTGGCTGTTCTTGTTCGCCATTCTCTTGACCAAAAGACAGCTGTCACAGTTCAGGATTCACCTTGTGCCCACACTCCCGTGTGACTACTAAAACCCCCTCGTCAAAAGGACTTCTTCTCCATTGCGGGAGCCCTGCCTTTTCCAACAAAACTCGCTCATGGGGCGACCCGCTCGCCCTCAAAAACAAACACTTGGGCACATGTTTGCTTTGTCGATAGTAGCTTCCCCGCATTCGGAGAAACCCATTTCGAAAGCCTGGGCGCTTCAGCTCGCCCTTTAGGCGGAAGTGCACCCCCCTGGCCCGGAGCTCTTCCAGCTGGATGCGCTCGGCGCACGCGCCGGTGACGATCCGCAAACTGGCGAGCCTGCTGAAAGGAGAAACAACGGAGGAGCGCTCATCTTCACACCCAGAAGGAGTTGGGAGCCCTTGTTGAACGCCCCCCTTCTTTTCCTGAAGCAAAACTCACTTGAGTGGTTGTTTGCTATAACTGTCTAAAGCAAGCATCAACAAGCAATACTGGTACAAATTATACGGCATAAACAATAACAGGAGCATGACGAACACAAACAAGCCAGCTCCTGTAGAAGATAGGGCGCTCTAAGTCAAAGCAATAACCCGCCTCGCTGCCCGCGTGGCATCAAATAAGTAGGCCGACGCCGCATCACTGCGCACCCCTTGGCAAACGGTGGCTTGAATCACCGAGGCCCCCGTCTGCGTCTCGCCATTGTAGTCCTCACGCACAGACTCTTTGTGTCACCCATGCAAGGGCCCAGCCTCGTCATAGGCGGCATTTACCCAGTCAGCAAAGTAGGTAGCCAATCTTACAACTTACAGCCTATGTGTTAAGCGGCGGTTGCCCCTGCTTGCGCTATCCACAGAAAGACTCGAGCCACCTTCAAACTCCATTGTGCCAGTTTCAATATCCACTTGAAGTGTCAAACAGTTTCAGACATTGTATTACTCCATTGTGCCCAAGCAGTTTCAGACATAACATCATGAACAGTGACAAAGGCTCAGGAAAGCGCAGCGCTGCTGGTTTGACCATGCGCCGGGGCCAAGATCCGCGACTGTGCTCAACTTTAATTCAGGCTCATTGATCCACTGGCAGATTCCAGGCCGCACGTTGACCGAGGCTTGGCATGCTTGGTGCGCAATGATGAACATCTTCATATTTGCAAACCATGCCACAGTTTAAGCAACAATACGTAAAACAACTGGAAAAGTAGAAAGTCAACTGCGAGATTTCCTATGGTCAAGCCGCCGGCATGATGGTCCTCAACCCTCGGAATGCCAGCCGCCTCGCAGGCTGCGAGGAAGAGCTCGCACACCTCCCTGGTGGCCAGGCCAAACCTCTTCTCCGCCTTGGTGACCTGGCTTGGGAGGTGCACCTCTTTCAACATCTGCGCAAATTAGGCGTCAGGGTTTCTCAAATCAGTTTGTGTTATATTCTACAAACGCACGGCGGCCCTGTTTTGCCACCAGTGAGGCCGCGAGGGCATTCACCTAGCTGTCTCCCCCACCATTCCCCACCCTTTCTGCGTTCAACGTGTCAGGAATTCACGAAGCAAAAGCCCTCAGGGAGGGGTCTGCATCATGCGAGGAATCGCTGGCTGTCCCCCCCCCATCAGTGGGCTCCCCAATGATTTGTACACAAGTTTGGGACTAAAGCACCAAATTGTTCAACCATCAGCTCTCTTTTGGTTTCGGTTGTCCACTTGCCGACTTGGCTGGCCAGAAACAGTTCGAGCATTTTGGGCCTCTAATGTGAAGAGGAAGTCTACTCCACCCCCCCCCCTTCCAAACAAAAAAACTCACCGGTTCTGCAAGTACATCAAATAGGCCCATGAAATGAGGGCTTACCTTTTGAAACCCTTTGAAGAATATGAATACGCATCTATCGTTGCCTTCAGTTGAAAAGGGGTCGGAACATCAGCTTCTCAAGGTTTTGTTGGGGGGTCGTTCGGCACCGACTGTTGCAGCACTGACCTGGATGGGTCCGTCAAAGCCGCGCAGGGCCGGATTGCCATCGCCGTGGTAGTGCTCACACTTCTTGAAGTGCTTCAGCACCTCACGTGGTTTAGACCGAACTTGTTGGGCTGCGACTGAACATCTTACTGGTTAAGGGATTCCAAAGGTCCAGCGACTACCAAGAGTGCCACTAAGACATTAACATATTTGCCAGGAGCGCTTCCAACCAATTGGGAAACAACGAATCATCTTAAGCAAACGGAAGAAGAGGACAAGACGCAAAAGGGTCAGTTTGCTCAGGCACCGATTTCCAGCCCCAGCCCTGGCATCCTAAGCGTGTCTCCCAGTCGTCAAACGTCCGGGGGTCGCCCCGGACGTACAGGCACTGGTTCACGCTGGAGCAGCCGCCCAGGAGCTTGCCCCGCGGCCACCTTGAGGCCCGGCCACCTCGGGAACTCATTGCGTTACAAGGGGATCAACGCAAAAACAGCAAGTTGCCATTGTACACACAGCCAAAACGAAACATGGGCAGATCCAGAAACAGGGGGCTTCTTTTGGGTGGTGTTGAAAGATGACACCCAAAGCAAACACCTTGCCATTTTAGGACACCTACATTGGAACCTGACAGGGGACCCGTGGGAGAGTGTCGCGCTGTGCTGTTCAAACCTGTTTGAGTCGCACAAGGTTGTTCTTTTGCCAGCTTGTCCAGAGAAATGTTCCGGGCCCTTCCAAAAAAGGATTCCTACACTTTTGTTTGGGGAAAAAATGCTTTATTGGCTAAAGGCAAAAGCACATCCCTGACTGAAACATCAACCCCAGGTTTCCCCTTCCTTCAAAGCTCTGGGCACACCCGTCCACAGCCAGGGAGTGTGCCAACCAAAGGTTTTCGTCGTCGTGGGCGCAACCAAGGCAATTGGTCCAAGGCGATTGCTCCAAGGACAAACCCTGCCACCCCGCATGGCCTGCGGCCTCCTGTGGCACGGTGGAGTACACACAGCTCAGCTCCGAAGTCTGCAGCTGGACGCTCTGAAGGAAGGGCGACCCGACGCGCCGCCGGATTCCGCGCTCCTAGCCAAGCTTCCCCAAAGAAAGGGCGGCCCACTTAGGGAAGCTCATGAGTCCCAACGTCCCAACCTCTCGCCCGGTCCTGATTGCTTGGGCCTGCCTCCAGGAGCAAGACCCGCGCCCCGCCTTCGGCCAAGCGTGCCGCCACCACGCAGCCTGTTGAGCCCCCACCCACCACCACCACATCGAACTCCTCCTCCAGGGATGGAGGAATGGAGAGAGAAGTACCCATAGCACCTACACGAAGGTAGAATTCAAGCTGCCACGACCGATTTGATGCTGTGAGCCTGAGATGCTGCTTTCAAAAGCCTCCACTCGTCACCAGAAAATCCGGTGTCAGTTCTTCCCCACTGACAAATCAGGATGGGCAGCTTGCTGGATTGTTTCTTGCAACGTGGAACACGCGTATGTCCTTCCGCCGCTCGCTCCATTGTGGCTCAAAGGCTGCAACCCACACGAGTCAGTCAAGCAGTGCCAACACGTTGCATACAGCAATCATGGAGGTAGCGGCTTGGGTGGGACTTTGTGAAACTGCCGTCAGAGCTGCACGGAGGCCTCGCAAGCAAATCCATGCTCGAAAGGCTTGTGACAGCTCCAAAGTTTAACCGACTCAACCGCTATCAAGCCCTCTGTGTGGGCCATTCACGCGCTTTCAACATGTTCAAAGAAACTGGGTGAGACTATACAAGCGGGTGCCTGAAGGGGCACAAGGGCAAAGCCTGACAAAGAAAGTCACCCCAAGGTGTATGTTCGTCCGACCGGCCTGTCCGCTCAGCAAGTTGACCGCATCCTGACAAATTGGGTGATCAAGGGTGGGAGCATTACAGGGCTACCTCGGTTTCAACAGCTTTCAAAGCAGGCATGGCTGTCCTCGAGTGTGAGACTTCTCCTGGATGCCCACCTGAGACACGCCAACCCATACGCCCAAACAAATGCTCTCGGTTTGTTCAGAATTCCGGCGGGCCCAACACCAAACTGGAATATGCCAAATCTAAACCAATACCAACTTGCGACTTCTCATGATTTCTCCCACCGACCTCTTCTCCAGTTGTAAGTGGACTCTCTGCAGGCCAAATCTGGAACAGGGGACCCCTAATCGTCAAAAAAACAAACATGTTTCTCCCCAACGGACTTGTTGTTTGCTGTGGAGGGGACGTCCACAAACTGGACCCATGGCCCTCAACTTCTGACGCCCCCGCTCCGCTGGGCGGAGGCCAAAGCCCAGGTAGGTAAGCTGCTCCAAAACGGTCAGCCCTGGTCGGCGAATGTACACCAGGGCTGGGGGAAATGGAATCCACGTCTGTGAGACAAAGGGCTTTTTCAAAAACTAACCCTGTATATGGGGGAGATTCCTCTTCTTAATTGCACTGTTTGCTTTCCTTCCTTTCCCTCTTCTTTCTCTCTTTCTCTCTTACTCTTTCACAAGCACAGGCTTGGCACGGGCCGGTCACACGCACACACACACACAACAAACACACACACACACACCCAACACACACTCTCACACACACACACGCGCATACACGCACAAGCATGCAGGCATGCCGGCACGCATGCACGCACTCTGGCTCACAAGCTCACCGGCACGAGCGCGCGCAAGTGTTGAGCTTTCCTCGCGCACTGTAGGAGAATACTCGACGGCGACCTGTTGCGAGCGTAAACAGATTATTCTTTGCTGCTGTATGCCACGAGTGCCGAAGATAAGAACAAACTTTCTGTGTTACAAGCTATGTGGAAGTTTCTGGAGACGCTTACGGAATGCGCAGTCACGCTTAAACACTTTGGATTTCAGGAACTGGAGTCGGCCTTTTCCGCGGAGCCCTTTGGTCAAAGCCTTCAACTATACCCGCCCTGCCTTCAGGGATTGACGTTGACTCCGGCTGCGCCTTCAAAGCATCAGTGCTTGGCGCTGCATGATTGAACAGCTTGTTACTCACCCTCTGCATCTTGAAGTAGACTTGGGCGGCATCCCTCCAAATTGATTGATCCATAACAACCGGACGCCTCGGCTGGGTTGAGAAGTGCAGCAGACGGCCAACGAAAACCATCAACCCCTTCCTGTCTCACTTCTTTATCTACTTCTAAATATTTCTTATTAGAAAATGTAATTATCATTGATGCAGAAGCAGTTATTGAAAGGAAGAAGAGAGAAAGGGAGTGAAGGCATGTCTGCATCATCTATCTCTTTCTATCTCTTCCATCTCTTTCACTCGCGTGCCATTCCTCATCATCCTTAGTGTCTCTTCCATTAAATCCGATTCTAAATCTTGCAAATCTTTGATTGGCAATGGTAATGACAAAGAAAGAGACAGAGAAGGGCGCGAATTTGCTCTCTCTTAAAAACCATTCCGTGCCTTTCCAAGTTCTTCCTCTCACTTCTGCCTCTAAATTCTATTCGCGGGCTGCTTCTCATTTTACATGAGTGGGACAAAGGGAAGGGAAGAGACTAAGAGATAGGAAATTATATCAGGTGTTAGGCCATGTGCTTTCTCTTCATTTTTTCACACCCTTTCCCTGAGCGTTCATTGAGGAAGAGACGGGAACGGGAACCATGGGAAATGCTGGGTCTTTTGTCCGTACTTTCAACCTCGCAATCGCAACCTTTTGGTACAAGTACAGTGAACGAACACTAGGGCCGCTCCAGCTCAAAGTCGCAACCCTTCAGTACCCATTGTAATGTACAGGAAGCACGCTTTCAGGTTTTCCGCATCGTTTTTGTTCGACCCTGTTTGCTACCTGACAAGCTGTGTCAAGGCTGATTCCCACAACCATTATCGTTTTTGAAAACTCCCTATCGCAGGTTTGGACACAAGCGACCTCTCAAAGACTAAGCTTGAATCAACCGGACTTTGATACCCAAGCAGAGCGTTGCAAAGCGCACGATCCTGCCTGTGCTTTCACCGCCGCAGCTCGGAAGCCTTGCAAGCGTCATTGCCGAGCCCTTCACAAGCTGCAGCAGGACGCGGGCCTTCCGCTGTGCTGATTTGAAGGCTAGAGCTGTCCTGCGCAGGGAAGCAACACGATCGAGTCAAAACTCTTCAGCACTTCGGAGCTTGATCAGGTCTTGGCCACTGGGCGCGCAATTCAAGAGTGGTGGCTTGCTTTCAGCGCTAGATTTGGCTGTCCTCAAGAGGCATGGCGTCTGGCTGCTCCTGCCCACCGCCCATGGGGCGCATTTTCCCCTTTGTCTCAGACGCACGCACCCTGCACCCACACACCATCACGCTTCACGCACGCACGCAGCCGCTACATATTTCACCTTTCCGCTGCACGATTGTTTCTACACCTCGTCTCAGAGATCCTCCGCGTCTGGCCTGGTCAGACAAGCAAACGTGGGAGCGTTGTCAACAACTTGCAGGCCAAATTTTTGATTGGCTGGCGGGACGGGCCTTGGCCGCGGCAAAGGGCCTGCGTTGAACTCATCTGAGAGGTAGGAAGATGTTTCCTCCCAGAAGTCTTCCAGTGAGTCTCCACTGTCCTGGGGATTTTGAGACTGATCAAGGCATGCTTCAATCACCCTCTCTCTCACCCTCTCAGGGTGTGACCTCCTCTAGATCGAGCTGCTGCAGCACTCCAGTCTTCAGAAGGTTCTGAAACGCAGGATGTTTCCTAGCACAGTGCGGCAGGTGTGCCTAGCCCCAGCAAATGTTCAGCCAGAAGCGACAATGAGCAAAACAGCGGCTGTTTGCTGCCTGCTCAAGCGTGATGCGAAAGGATTGTCCAAGAGCTTCAGCACGCCTTCAGTACATCCATGCCCTGTTTCAAAATTCAGCAATTCTGAAGAAATTCTTGACGTTCTTCGACCAACCTGAAACTTGGTTAACATAGCGGGCCGCCAAGCAGCGGAGCTTTGCCAGCTCATCGAACACCCCAGGCGGCAGAAACTGCATCCTCTGAAAGCACTGCGGAATGATCGGCAGTGCCGGAAAGCGAAACATCAAGATTTGCAGTGTGAATCCTTGCAGTCTTGGCGCCTGTTGTGATGAAGGAGCAGCACCTGCTGGGATGGCAGCGGAGTCCATGATACCAGGAACCACGAAATGATGGAACTCTTGGCGCAGAATCTGTGTGTGTGCGTGTGCGTGTGCGCGCGCGCGACGGATCTGGCTTTTTGGCATACTGCTACGCAGTCGCTTGCCCGCTTTCCTGCCAGCATGTCTCTCGCCACTGCGCGCCCGCCAAAGGTTTGGCGCCCCGCTCAGGAGCACACGGTCGGCGCTGCGCACACGCCAGCACAATGAGACGCACGCCCGGTCAAGAGCGCGTGTTCGGCTTGCGCGCACGTCTGCCACATGAGAAGCACACCCGCTCAAGAGCACACTTTCAGCATTGAAACCACGCCAGCCACATGATAAGCGGCCCCACTCAAGAGCACACAGTCAGCCGCCCACTGCACGCACGCCAGCCAAGATATACGCTCAGTTACTCGCACGCCAGCTTAACGATTCGTGCGCTCGGTCAAGGGCACAAAGTGAGCGCTGCGCACGCGCCTGCCAAGCGATAAGTACACCGGCTCAGGAGCACACGCTCAGGAGCACACGCTCAGGAGCGCACGCTCAGCCTCTCAGCACTGCGCACGCGTGCAAAAACACCCCCACTAAACCACGCGCTGACGAGTAGCTGGCGATTTATTGCCAACCAACCCATCAAAACGCGCAGGCAACCTATGCCGTTTTGATCTGTTTTTGTTGCCTGCCTGCCTCTTTGAATGAAGGTGTGTTTGATTGTTTGCTTGGTTGCTTGCTCGCTGTCTGTTTCCTTGTTGCTTTGCTTGTCGCTGTGTTTGTTTGATTGTTTGTTTGTCAGGTTTGTTTTGGTCTGGTTTTCTTCGGCTTTGTGACATGTTGTTGGTGTTTTTTTCCGGCTTGCTTACTTGCTTGATGCCTGTTTGTCTACTTGCCTGTCTCTGCTCGTGTTGTTTGTGTTCGCTGTTCGATTGTTTTGCTTGTTTGACTGTTTGCTTGCTAGTGCGGGCGTGCGGGCGTTTGTTCATTTGCTTGCTTGGTTGAGTGGTTGGTTGGTTGGCTGGTTGGCTGGCTGGCTGGCTGGTTGGCTGGCTGGTTGACGATTATTTTTATCGTTTGGGTGTTCGATTGATCGGTTGGTTGGTTGGTTGATTGATTGATTGGTTGATTGATTGAATGATTCATTCATTCATTCTTTCATTCATTAATTCGTTCATTCATTGGTTGCCTGATTGTTTCATTGCTTGATTGATTGGTTGATCTGGTTTAACGGTTGAATTTCGAGATTGCTGACGCGTTTGTCCGCATGCGCCTGTTTGCTCGCTTGCTCCCTTGCGCGTGCGAGGTGTGCGTCCGCGCATGCGTACGTTGGTTGCTGCACGCTGCGAGCAGTCAGCTGTGAGTGGCGTGTTTGCGTGTGCGTGCTTCTCTCTGTGGTCACTTTCCATCAAACACCCTTACATGGGGGTTGATCAATGTTCGATATAGAGCCCCCAGTTTTGACCATGGCAAACTTTTCCCATGTAGGAAACATATCAAGCCTTCTTAGTGGTTTTCCAACCAACGGTCATCCCATGTTTTGCGTGATCAACTTTGTGATCAACCCCCACATGGGCATCGCCCGGCCTGCAAGTTTGAGAGTCCCTGGAAGATCCGAGGCGGAAGCTCTTGCAGACGGTTGCCGGCGACCTGGAAGAAAAGAGGCTTGGTTCTGCTCACAACAGCTTCAAGAACAGCTCAGTCTGCCCCAGCCTCAAACACGGGGTTGGGGTTGGGGTTGGGCCGACTTTCACACCTTCTTGTCTGTCTTGAGTCAAAGCTGCAGCTGGTTTGAAATTGAGCACTGCAATCACTATGGACCCCTGGCCCAGCCTTCATCTTCTTGTAGCCCTTCTCACCGACTTGATAATGATTGCCGGTGAGCCAAAGGACTTTGAGCTTAGACAGTCCATGAAATGCATCTTCCTTAGTTGAATAAACCCACAGTCGCTTCATCGCAAGCTACGTGCAAAAATCACAGAAAACAAATATGCTCTGAAGCTGAATTGTTGAGAGATCTTGGACGCCGAAGCAAACTCTGAGACAGCGTCTGGCAACTCCTCAAGCTCATTGAACTCCAAATTCCTCGCATGAGCCGTGCGTTCGTGAGCTGTACTGTCGTTACAGGCAAAATGCTCCTGGTCAACCGTTGTGGAAACTCTGTCACGCACTCACGGCACTAGGCCCAGGGCAGCACCCGCAACTTGGGCGGTAAGGAGGCTCCAGGCAGCCGCCGAAGGCGGCTCTCTGAAAGGTCCTCAAAGCGGAAAGTGCCGCCAAGGAGATCCCTCGACATTTCTACTGCAGCCATTTGTCCAGGCGACGCACAGTGGCAGGGATAGATCTGAGACCGGCCTGGGGGGGGTGTTTCAATGAGCAATAGGTACCAAAGCACCGGCCAACCGCTGGGCCAGCCTCCATCTTGTCAGGGGGCAAGTTTCGCAGCTTCGGGCTATGGATGAAAAGGCAGTCAAGGCCTGCGCGGGGCCAACAGCATCCCGCACAAGTGGAGCAAGGTCGGCCGAGCGAGACCAGAATATGCAAGTTTTAGAGACAACACAGGTAGCAAGGCCACGTTGCTGTCCTCAGACCGCCTGTTTGCAAAGTTTAGAATACGCTGCCTGATTGAAAACAAAAACACTCATCTATCTGACCGCTCATCAATCTGACCTGCGCTGACGAGTATGGTTTAGTCCAAGCGCCCAATTTGCCCCATTCATAGATTCTGATGATTCTGGACTGCCTTCAGGATACTGCTCTTGCTTGGGAAAGCTGAAGAGCTTGCGGCAGGTGGCAGTGAGGCCACAGTCTCCACCACCAGGACTCAGCAATATACAAGCAAGCATTGAAGCATTAAAGCATTGAAGCATTGATAGCTGAATGACAACCTCAACAAAAAGCCACATTGTGAATATGTCCACGGATTGTCAATGGGGTTGATCATGGAATTACCATTGGTTGGAAAACCACTAAAAAGATGATGGTTCACACTAAATGGGAAAAGTTGGCCAGGGTCTTTGGGGGCCCTAAATTGAATATTGATCAACCCCACAATGTCCAAAGAGTGCAAAGTCCAGAAGATTGCAACGTGTCCTCTCGCCAAGCTTCCCCGTGGAGCACCGGCAGCCGGCGGGGCACGTCTTTCCCAGCACCAGCAGTGGAGCGAGCAGCAGCCGCAAAACGGCTTCCGCCATCAGCATGGTCCCCTTAACCACTCGAGCAAACTGACCTGCTGCTGACAATGACAGCTTCGCCTGCCCAAGCTTTTCAAGGGAAAGAGAAGGTTTCAAGCAGGGGAGGGGGGTCTGTGGTTGATTGGGGCCTTTGATAGGAGGATGGCTGACAAGTTGGTGGGAGGGCTGAGGGTTGGCTGGGGGCTGGTTGAGGGCTGTCCGAGGGCTGCTTGGAAGCCGTCTGCATCTTTTATGTTTCTTGGCAGCTTTGAGATCACGTTGCGCTGACTAGGCGGCAAGTTCCAAATGTCTGACGCAGTCAACAATTAGTCTTGCCACATGCATAGCACTGAGTAGGTCATTGTGGCAACAGTCAGTCCTCACAAATTCTTTGAGAAGAGGCCTTGGCTCCAACATACACCCATCGGAGGGCGCATTGAAGCTCTCCGAATCGATTTCAACGAGCGCCATTGATTGTCATGAACCACACGCTGTTAGCACCACGCTGACTTCTTGCGGACATGGATAAACCGATGATCCAACATCTACGTGGGCCACTTCTTACAAGCATTCTGTACCAAACAACACTGAGTCACCCGGCGGCGCAGTGGCCAGCATCTGGAAGCTCATCACCTTTGAGCATGCAGGCAAACCATACTTATCGCGCTAGCTCGCGTTGCCAGCAAGCGGCATGGGTGACTCTGTCTCACACACAACGCGCCTTCAGCACTGTCTTCGGGCCTCTGCGCGGCAATATGGGCGTGGCTCAAATTTTAACTCTTGTCTCCATGTATCAAGGTGCCATCTTGGGTTATCTTTTTTTGAGCCACAGCCGTATGATGATCAGCAACATACCAAGCACTCCGTGCCACCGACTTGACGTCAATCGGTGACTGTCCAATCAACAGTGCTTGGCATCTCAGTGCACTGAAACATTGCAACTTCAGAGATCTTTCTTTGTTGTAACTGTTCAAATCAAAGTGTCTAACATTTAGAGAAACAAGCACTCTGCGCCACACTACTTTCAGAATTAATGCAAGCGAAAACGCACCACTGTCTGGGAGCCAACCTTGCCGCACTCCGGTGGTCAAAGCAAGAAACTTATGCCAAATCCAAGCTTTGCACCCCGAGTTGATCGACTGGGCGCCTGTGGCCTGAGCGCAAGCGAACAACTTGTGGCACACATTGAGCGATGCTCACTTGCACCAACATTGCGGATGCTTAATCGAATATTGCAAGCTAAACATCATGTCCAACCCTGGGGGCGCAAAGGACCGGAGCTGCCTTACCAGCATGCCGATACAAACTTATGACAACTGCAGCCGGAGGGCAAAACTACTTTGATCCAGTTGTCAACTTCCAACAAGGGTCCAGTGACAAGTCTGTTTCTTACATCATAAAGGCCTTGCTTGGGTCGTTGCGTTAGGACCCTCTGCAATCAATTGCAACCGGCGGCGTGCATGGAAGATGCGCCGAAGATGCGCAAACGATGCATTCCGCTGTTTCCCAAGAAGACTCATTCACACACACACACAGACATGGTTTTCCTGTACAAAAAAGGTGCTTAAGCTGCCCCCCTTGCAACAACTTTATTCGGCGCTCCTCAATCCGGTGAAGGACCCAGCTAGCAATTATCCCAGCGATGCCAGCATTTGTCCGAGCAAGCATTGTCTTTGTATGCACGCATATTCATGTTCAGCATTTACCAGAAAGCAGGAACGGCAAATCCTTCAACACCACCTTCAACATCAGCCCACGCAGCAGAGTCTGCGGTGCGCGGAGCAGGGGTTCAGGGTGTGTGACTTGCACCAAAGCGGGCCATCCCTCTGGCTATGTTGCTGCGTTGGAAGGGACTTCCAAACCCAGCGTCACAGAAAATGGGCCAAAGCCTCGTTTGCCACAGCTCCTGCAGTTGATTCTCCACTGTGGCCGCTTCATCAACTTCAACCCACTTCGTCCGCTTACAGAGAAATCGCAAACACTTCATGTCAAAAATCAATGAACCCTCATCAGGCGCAGGCATCGCTCTGGTAGCCAATGGCTCACTGGTCTGTTGGCAACTGAGCCCCCCTGCTGCCGGCAAGCCGTCCGGAACCTGTCGCTTCAGGCCACCCCGCGCGAGCGTCACATTAGAGTTCGTGGGCAGCCTAATGGATCTTGGGCCGTTCAATTCGGAAACAGTTCGATCATTGCTCTGCACAATCGAGTTTGCAGGACCTGCTTGGATTCTGACTGTCCTCAATGACAAAAAGGGCTAGCCATCCTTATGTTGCTGGGTCAAACAGGATGTTTGCCGAGGGCTTTGCAGGAGAACGGCTTGTGGATGCCAGTGCAAAACGCAACTTTGCATAGGATACAATCTGCCAAACGTGTGCATTGAATTTGGAAAGCATGACAGCCAAGGACATATTCGAATGTCTTTTAGTCATCTGCATGCGCCAAAGCATCCCTAGGGGCAGGAAACTTATGCTTGTCAAGCATCTGGCGCTGAATAAAAAAGGAACAAATCCATCTCCTCAAAAATTGGGGCCCAAGCATTGTCCGACTGGCTCCTGTCTTTGAGCTTAGCGGACAGGAAGTCAGCAGCTTCTTCCAGGAACCACCTAGGTATTCTCAAGTTTGTGATGGCGCACGTGTCAACCAACTGAGCCCTGATGCCAAAATGCAGAAACACAAGATCATCACAATGGCTGTGCGTTCAGGAAGCTCATGTGCAACTCTTGATCTGGCAGGATCCTACATGAGAAACTCGCATCAGATTCTCTAGTGCGCTCAAATTTGACGCGGCTTAGCGGCGCTGCCTTACCAACTTGACATTTACTTCACTCCTGCCATTGAGGACCACACATTGGTCGAATGCCGTTGTGGCCTCCCTCAAAGACTCTGAAGTGCCTCAACTTGCGACTTGCGAGTCCGTCTGTTTGTCCATGATATGCACGGCACGGACAACGCGTTCAGCACGTCTTTGGCCATGACACGGGCAGGAAAGGTCTCAATTGGTGGACAGTCTTGGGAATACATCTTAGCCCACCAAACAGGTGCATTGGACACACGTAGCACCTTGCGGCTGTTGCGTATTGCGGAGACAGGTCTGGAGCAACTATTGCCCTGCGAGCCACGCCATTCTGCGACATGTTGCACTCAGTCTACGCCATTTACGCTGACCGCGAATCCAGCATGTCAGGGCAAACCGGAGGGACGCATGCAAGATCAACCTGCATGAAACGCTTGGCAGCAGGCTTGTGTCCACCCCAGGCATCGTGCAGCGCCTGCCCACTTGCTCGCAATTCATTCCATGAGAGCGCTACGTTTGGATCAGGATAGGTCAATATCATGCTCCAACGGCAGGCGCGCCTGCGTATGATGCGGCAATACAAAGGTGTCATCCGAGGCAACGCCGAAGAATGCAGCGCCTTGGCGGACCGCCCGCTGTTTCTGTTCCACGGGTTCCTTGTGCACGAGTCCTTTCTTGCCATCTAAGCTGACTGCAGGCTGCCTTGGGCGCCCGGGAGATCGGCGACAACTGGCAAGGCGGCGACTTGCCACGCACTGACTTGAAGATAGATTAGTGCGATTACTGTAGCCACCTTCAACCATCTCTTGCCACAACTGCTGTTGCAAGCTTCTGGTCACTTGCGCTCTTGCGCTGATTGTCAGGAACTCAACATGTCGATGCGTTAGCCGCATGCTCCCACCTCTAGAATGTCAAAGCCCGCGCGGCTTGACACTTCGGTTCGAACCATGTCAAAGGCCTTAGCTCAAGACTGCAAGCAGCATCCGATGGCGAGACAAATCACAACACATCCAGATGGAACTCAATGAAGCGCGAGTCTGATCACTAACACACGTTGACAGCAAGATTCCAGGACCGCATGTTTTCCAAGTTGTCCAGTCCTTTGCGCGTTTAGCTTGACCCAGCTTTGCCCTTTGACATTTGAGGTTCAACCGCTGCTGGATTAAAGTGTGCGGAATGGCAGGACCAGCAAAACAAGTCTTGGCATTTTGGTCTTGGCACCCATCTCAGATGCTTTTTGGTCAACATGGAGCCGCGTGGGTTATTCGCGAGCAAGCCGATGCTCAGGCGGCTGCCCAGCCGGTCAAGAAGGTTGGCAATGGAAATCTCAGGGCACAATCGGTCAGACAAATCAGAACATCACTGAAAACTCAATCGCGCTGCCGCCAACAACTGGAGAAAACCAAAGCCTGGCGGACCTTTAGGCATGTGCAAGTCATAGAGACCCTCGCCTGCCCTTGCCCACCAGCTCCTCTGCAACACTCTTCAAGTCCTCTCACAGCAGGCCACTCGCGTCGCAATTACGAAGTGTGCATGCACAACGGGGTGCGCAGCTGAGAACCAAACAACTGCCGGGCCATCAAACACATGGCTGTGGCTCAAAAAACACCGGTACCAAACTGGAACCCTGGCAAGTGGAAACATGGACCAAAACCTGCGTAAGCCCTTCAGTTTAATTTTGCGCCACACCCACATTGCTGGAATCAAGCCTGACACTCCAAACCTGCAAGTCAAGAGCTGGTCAAGTAACTTCGCCTTGAAGGCAGAGTCCAGCACACAAGCGGCGATGCTGGAGTCCTGCGCATGCCATGCGGAGGGCATGCAGGCTCTACATGGCCCGATGCCCAATGCCCATGAACAAATCAGCTCTGTTTCCTTGCTCATGACTGGATATTTCACACTGCTTTGCTGGCGCATGCCTCGGCCACTCGCAGGATGGAAGTGGAAGCTCCCATGGACCTGGCGACTCTCTCTTGTTGTTGCAGGCCGTTTCCTAGCAAACTGCAAGACGCGCACAGTCCAGTGTGAGAGGGCGAGAGCAGAAAGGAGATCGCCAGTTAGATTGTGCATTTCCCTCTCTATGCCACGCAAAAGCCAACGCATACAAGTTGGTATGGCGGAGTTCTGAGAGTTAACTAGATGATGTTTCTCATTCCGGGTCTCTAGTCCTTCATTCAGACTGGCAATGTGAAGTTTGGACAGTGTTGCCCTAGCTGAAACGGCGTATATATTGCTCTGAAACGACTCACTTTGAGGCACATCATCGCGTCGTGTGTTCGAATTGAGGCTGCCAGTCTGGGGGGGGCACGGGGAAAAGAACAGCAATTGAAATTGTGTAAACTCAAATGAGCCGCAGCAACCAATGCCATTGGAAAGCACCATGACAACAAGTGTCGATGCTGTAGAGCAGGCAAGATCATGCGAGGATGCGCATGAGCGACTTTTCCTACCTGTTCGATTGACTCTTGGGCCTAACGGCCGGTCGGGGATGGTTTCCCACGTGCAAACGCTAACATATTCACACAGCTCCAAAATGGAGCCAATTTTTTGTTGGCTAAGCTTCACTTCTGCTTGTTGAACTTCCAGGGAATCTGGATGCTGCCGCTCGCCATGAGTCCCCACCATTTCCGCGGGCACATTCTCTTTGTGAGCACATCGCTCATCTGCCATTCCGTCGGCACCCAGTGGAGCGGCACCTTCATGGCGTCGGCTCCAGGCCAGGGTTCCTCAGCTCCCATTGCCGCTGTCCCTCCTGACGGAGGATCTGCCGAAGACCCGCCAGGTCGATGGCCACTCGCTTCTCCGACGGGGCCTTCGGTGCTCCCGCCCTGTGGATGTGGTCGTACAGGGATCGGCAGTCGGTCATGAGGTGAAAGTCCATCACGCCCGACTCGGACTTCTGGAAACTGCTCCACAGGTCCCGCAGGAACAGCGCATGCTCCGAAGCCTCGCGCAACACGCCATAGTTTCACCCGCAAACGTGGACCGGCAGGTCGTCTTGCACACCTTGCTCATCCAGGTCAAGGGGCTTGCCGAGCCTCCCTCCTTGTTCAGGACGTCCTTGTCCGCCATGAAGATCATCACCCCGAGCTGTGAGCCGGTCAGGAACTTTCCTTCTCATTCTTCATCACGTTCACCTTCCAGTTCTACGTTACCCCAGGCCGCATCGTGGTAGGCGATCAGGATCTCCCGGCCCGGTCGAACCTTCCGGAGGGTGCCTTCGCCCTGGAACTTCCCTGCTTGGGTCACCAGAGCGTTGGTCTCCTTGAGGTGCTTGATTCGGGGCGCATTCTGATGGCGCTGTGCCTCCGCCACACCCATCGGGTCTGGATTGTAGCGCGAGCCAGCTGAGACTCCCCACCACCGTGCGGTTGTCCGCCTTCAGCTCGCCGTCCACCTCCTTTTCTTCATCCGCCTCCTTGTCAAAGTCCAGCCTCTCAAGTCGTCCATCCATGTAGTCCTTCTGGGTGATGGTGATCGTGCCCTTCTCCACGTCCAGGTCATAGTGACTCCCGACATAGTCGAAGTCCCCAAAGTTCCACTCGTCGATGGGGAACATCGCGGCGGACCGCCTCGTTGATTGCTTTTCGGCCGGCCAGGAGCAAGTCGTCCACATGAGAAAGCATCAGAGCCCGGACCTCGCCGTCCAGGGTCCGGAATTCGAAGACACAAGGGTCGATGAGGTTGTGCTTCACCACCAGTGTCTCCCCCTCCACCTTCAACTTCAAGTTCGTGACGTCCTTAGAGAGTTTTTCCCACCAAAGCCTTGGGCTCGTAGAGAGCCCGAACACTCCCTTCTCGATGGACACGAGCTGGTGAGGTTCCAGGCCTGGAATCCCCCTCTTCGGCTGACGGAAGTAGAGATTACGTCCCGCCGGGACGCCGTTCAAGAAAGCGGCTTGCACATCCGCGGCGCAGACCTCCCAGTCCTCGTTGAGCGACTTCTGCAACGTCAGCATGAGGCTGGTCCTCGTAGCAGTCGGGGCATCACATTGCATCTCCCACCTTCCCGATGTCCGGGTCCATGTGTCCACCGACACACAGGCGCGCCTTCGGCTTGCAAGGGATCCCCGCATCCGGCGCGGCCTTCCTCTTGCTATAGTTCTTGTCCCGGTAGGCGAAGCGGCAGTTCAGGATCCGGTCGTTCGCCACATTCTCCCGGACCCAGTTAGACTCCGCGACCGAGAGCGGTCGCACGGCCTCGAACTTCAAATGCTCCTGCCACTGCTTCACCTCTGCCTCCACGTAGAGGTGCTTCTCTTCTTCGGGGATGCGCTCCCAGGGGAGTTCCTTCTCCAAAGCCTTATCCTTGGACGTCTCGCTGCTGCCTCGTTTAACCATCATCACTTCTCGCACGGCAGACTTACGTGCAGAGGAAGCCCGTCCAGAACGGTTGATCCCATGTCCACCATGCTCAGCGCCTTCACCTTGTTCCCGGCGGAGTCATCGAAGTGAATCACGTCCATGGCGAGCGCTTCTCCGAAGTCCATCAGCGTGGCCGGCCGAGCTGGCCGTCGGGTCCCGGGCTTCGTACATCTGCTGCATGCCTGGCACTTCAAGCACTTCGCAGCTCGGATGAGATGTTCATCCGCGTCCGAGTACTTCAGCTGGCGAGCCAACTCGTCGTTGGGCGGGTGCCTGAGGTTCTGGTGCAGCTTCTTGCAGATCGCCGCCCACTTGGCCGGGATCTGTTCACTGAAGGTGATGCCACGCGAGCCCTGCCATTCTTCATCTGGAACCAGCTCGGTCTCATCGAGACCCGGCTCGTCCTTCGGGAGCCCGCTCCTGGTCTTGGCTACCGCAAAGGCCGTGCGCTCTCCGGGGGTCGCCATCGCCTTCAGGTAGGCCTTCAGGACGCCGCGGGCAAACCGCCATGGGTAGTGAGCTGTTGCCCCAGTCTCTGCACCTTGGATCCGTCGGTGCTTGTGCCCATTCTTGAAGGCAACCGAGGTGGTCGTCAGTCTGATGGTCTTCCTCAGTCGCTCCTTCCCATCCAGGCTCACCATGCCGAAGCAGCAGAGGTCCAAGTTCAATGAGTAGCTGCCCGGGTCCTCCGTCCATTTCTTTACCAGCGGCTCCCGCCACAAGGCACTGCGGCTGGGATTCGCCATGATGGTATGGCCGCCGCTCATCTTCTGCAACAGCATGACCTCGTCGTAGAGCTCGAGGAACACCCGGTCTCGTTGTCGTAGCCGTCGTAGTTCCTGGGGCGAGTGGTTGAGGTGGCTGAACCCGCAGAAGTTCGTGCAGGGAGGTGCCAGCCACACCAACCGTGGCCTCTTCTCCTCGATAAGCCGCAGGACCTCCGCCCGACGTGTCGCCTGCCTAAGATCCTGTCCATGGAGAAGATCCCAGGGGGGCAGCACCGCTAAGCCAGCCGCCTCAAACGCTCGGGATATCCTTCCTTTTGCAGCAAAGATTTCTAGCAGATCGGGACGCTCCTCGTCCGCCTCAGGCCCCACCCGGGCACCAGAACAGCAAGTCCAGAGGTCGTTAACTGGCTCGCCGACCACCTCCTGGGTGAGGGCAATCGCCGTCATGAAGCACATTGAAACAACGTTCTTCGTGGCGCGGGCCATGTTCTGCAACTTCTTCCGGGTAGTCGCCTCTTGCGTCTGCGGACACCAGCCACCGCTCTCTGGAACTTTTCCTCCGCCGATAGCTGTCCGCAGTCACTTGCCTCCTCCGCGTCATTTACCTCCTCCGGTACTCCAGCTCCTTTAGCGCCTTGAGCAACTTTAATGCCTCCGGCAACTTTAACGTCTCGAGCGGCTTTAACATCTCCGGCGACTTCATCTTCTACTCCTTCTTGGTCACCCGGTCCAGGTTGTTCTTGTCTCGCAGCGCCGCCAGCTCCGTCTCCAGGCGTGTGATCCGCTCCCGGTCGGCCTAGTCTCCGTCTCTGCCATGGCCCACACCAGGTACTCCACCGGGATCTCGCGATACATCCAACCGCGGTAGCGTCCAAAGGGAACCACCGTCGAGGCGGGCCCCGCCATCTGCCGAAGTCGTAGCAGAAGCCAACCCCGGGTGGCCTTTTCCGGTACCTCGATGCCCACCTTCGCGGCTTCGGCCCTCAGCTCGGTCAGATTCATCTTGGCCGTCTGCTTCAGAGAGCTCGCAGTCTCCTTGGCCGGCTTGTTCTCCACCACCAGCTGGCGTAGCTCCGGCACCGTCCAGGATTGGTGTCTTCATCAAGTCTTCCTTTCGCATCTTCCATGGCGAGGTCGGCATGGAGGACATTGGGCTCCGAATTGGTAAGCTCCGAGGGGCTGGGCATCCTCTGAGGTTGTGTAAATGAGCTGCGGCCGATCCATAAGTTCTGAGCTGACTCACGCGTCGGTGCTCCCGATTGCCAATCATACGTGACGGTCTGAGAGAGCCCAGCTTGGACACAGGGGATCAGGTCGACTTGGCAAAGGGGTCCCAAGGATTCTATCAACTTCTTCTTCAGAGCGCTCTGGTCGGTCTTCCAATCACGGGGGTCGAACCAGGTCCTTCTGGGGGTCACATGTACTCGTATCATCTTCTCTCTAGTCTCAACCCAGAAGTCCCTCCCGATCTTGTTGTGCCTCCACCATGACAAGAAGGTTTCCTTGGGCAAGGCGTCCGACCCACTCAAGAAATTCTGAACCACCAGGGGGACCTTCTTCGGATAGAACAGCTTCGGGAAATCCTTCTCGCCCTCATCAACGGGGGCAGTGGGGTCTCCAGACGGGTGCGCCATGTACACTCGCGTGGTGCTCTGTAGCAGTGCCACCTCCTGATGGTCAGGAAGGCTATCAAAAAGCTCCTCGGTCGGGATGTAATCCCCGAGCTGGTCTACACGGATCGTCGGGTGTCCCGTGGCTGTGAGGCCAAGCTCGATCCCGGCAATCCCAAGCGACAAGAAATCGGCTCGGTGGCCCTGAACGTCTAAAACGGTTCCTAGTCGGGCTAAGGCGGTCCTGCCCAAAAGA